ACAAACTAAGACAGACAGGTTACATGATACCCTGACTCACAGCAACAAAAGAACATTTAGCTCAGGACAGAGGAGGCTGAGGTGCAGGAGACACACTTTTCAGTCAGGCTGCACACAAGAGAAAAAGCTACTTCCTTAAAAGATAAAGACAAGCTTGGCTTGGGAGCTGGAGAGATGGCTCAAACTAACACCACAAAATGTTACAATTAGGAATGTCAAAACGAACCACAGGGGAACTTACTTGCATTTTAATGTAAATTTTAGCATCAGTTTGTCCAGTCCTGCGGTTTGCTAAGCACTGTGTTTAGCTTGTGTCAGTCTGGGGAGACAGCATCTGAGCTGTTGGGTCTCCAGTCAGTGAGCACTGATTTCATCTGTTTATCTGCAGTTTCTTTCACCAACATTTTGTGCCTTTTATTTTTTTGGTCTTTTTGAGACAGGTCTCCCTGTAGCCCCAGCTGTCCTGGAACTCACTATGTAGACCAGGCTGGCCTTGAACTCACAGAGATCCGCCTGCCTCTGCCTCCTGAGTGCTGGGATTAAAGACTCTTTAGTGTATGAATCTTGCATTTATTTTGTAAAATTATTCCTAAATATTTCTTTTTATGACCTTTTGAGTGAAATTTAAAAATCAGTTTGCATAGTTTGTGTTTAGTAGAGACAGAAATACAGCTGATTTCTGTGTTGATCTCATATCCTAAAGCTCTGCTGAACTTAAGTTTCTCTCCCCCTCTCCCTCCACCTTGGTCTCCCTTTCTTTCTCCTTCTCTCTCTGCCCTCTCCCCCCTCCCCCTCTCCTCCTTCTCTCCCTCTCCCGTCTCCCTCTCTCTCCCCCCTCTCCTCTTTCTCTCCCTCTCTCTCCCCCCGTCTCCCTCTCTCTTTCCCTCTCTCCTCCTCTGTCTCTTTTTCCCCTCTCTCCTCCTCTTTCCCTCTTTTTCCTCCTCTCCCCCTCTCTCTCCCTGTCTCCCTCTCTCCTCCTCTTTCCCTCTCTCTCAACCCAGGATATGGAACATGCTAAGCAAGCACCCCCCACTGAGCTTCTCAGCCATATTTTATGAATTTATTAGGATATTTTTACATACAAGGTCATGTCACCTACAATCGCAAGTTTAAATTCTTCATTTCCTTCCTGATGTTTTTAAGTTTCCTTACTGTAACCAAAGTGACTGGAATTCTTCCTTGGGAAGGAAAAAGACAGGAGGCTGGAGAGATGCTCAGTGGTTAAGACCAGCTATTAAATTATCTGTACAGAGTGAAATTAATCCTCAAACAAGAGAGTTAAGAAGACAACTGACTCAGTATCACAGTCAGCAAACAAAGCCTGGGAACAAGTGGTAAGATGGCTGTAGTCCCAGCACTGGAGAGGCAGAAGCAGGGTCATCACAAGTTTGAGGCCAGGCTGGTCTACATAGCAAATTCCAGGCCATTCAGGGCTACATACCAAGATACCTCAATACATTCTCCTCCCCTGACAAAGAGTCTGAGAACAGTTCTAAAATCCTTAGCTGAACAAGAAACAAAGCATTTACACACAGCAAACAGAACCACTTGTACACATAAAAAATAAATCTCTTTTTCTTTTTCTTTTTTTTTTAATTTGGTCTTTTTGAAACAGGATCTCCTTATAGCCCTAGCTGGTCTGGAACTCACTATGTAGTCCAGGCTGGCCTCGAACTCACAAAGATCCATCTGCCTCTGCCTCCTGAGTGCTGGGACTAAAGGCATGTGCCACGACGTCCAGCCTATAAATCTCTTTTTTTAAAGATAGAAGAAAAAAATCCCCCAATACCGTAAGTCTTGAAAGTTCACTTTAATGTAAAGCCCCTAGGTAGCAGATCCCTTATACATATCCCTGTGTTCCCCGAGCTGGAATGCAAGTAGGAAGCTAAGAGACTCCATCAACAGGGAAGACAAGAGCCCAAAGGAACTCCAAAGAAACACAAAGGAGCCGAACACTTAGAAGTAGCCAAGTATAGTGTTTTTGGAGAGATGAGAATCAGTGTTGCACCGACGACTGAGAGGGAAGAGCGAAAGGGCTTGCTTTGGAGAACAAATACCTTTGACAATTAGAACGTCTGCAATAAACAGAGAAGTGGGGAAAGTTGGAGGTATGTCCTAGAAAGCTGAACAGAGAGCTAAGGTTGGAGAGAAAAATAAGAAACTCAGTGTGAACTCGAAGCACCGACTTGTGTTAAGCAGACATGGGTGGGGAAGGGGGCGCTGGGGAAGGCGGGTGCTGGGGAAGAGGCAAATGGGGAGTTTGGAAAACACTGACAGCAGGTTCCCTAGCTGGAGGACAGGTTGAGAGGCTCCTGCCTGCCTGGCTGGGTGAGCAGGTCCTGTGTCATCCACACAGTACTGTGGCATTTCAAAGGTTCCCTGAGCTCCAGGAGAAGGTGGGGCTGGGTAGGAAACAGAGCAGATCAAGAGGGAGAGTCCTAACACACTTCCATCAGCAGCCCTGACCTTAGAGACAACGACCTCAAGTTCCTGCTAGAAAATATTTCCAACCCACAGGTCAAGACCCCCATTAAAATTTCAAGCATGAAGATGGAACGGGGGATGGTTCACATACACGGACTCTCGAAATTTCCTCTTGTTCTCTCTGGAAGCTACTAGAGAACACACTGCTAAATCAGATGTGCAACTCAGCAACGGGGACATGGCTGGGTCTGACAGCGGAGAGGGGAGGGTATGCGGGCCTTGAGGAAAGGGGCCAGCAGCGTTCAGTGGTGTGCTGGGAAGGAAACAGCTGGGTGGAGGGGCAGGAGGAGATGTGATGGTCAAGGAAGGATGGTCCACAAAGGCAGACCGTTGAGATCTGCCTTGACGGCACTGAGAGGTTCACCATTTAACGGGAAGTGTGCATTAATGACAAGGACACTTAGAAAACTAAGCAAAGAAAAACAACTTGAAGGGACACAGAGTTGTATGAACTGGATGGTACAATCAATGGATCATGAGTCCCTGCATGAACCTCGGGTGTCTAAACACTCAGCCACAGCAGTACAACTGTGTATATTCACCGAACCCAGGACGGTGCTGCACACTGGCTGTTCTTTTTTGCCCCTTGGATCTTCTATCTCCCTTCCAGGCTCTGTGACTCAAAAGGTGAACACTTGGGATAAGGCTCAGTGGGAGAGTGCTTGCCTAGCATGTTTGAGGGCCTAGGTTTAGTTCTAGCACTGGAAAACAAAATCAGAAACCTGGCCCATATAATAGCCCCACTTGTTCCCCTATACTGGCCTCTGGCCGATTAGTCAGTGGGAGACAAGGGACTCTAGATACGAGATTCCTGGTGGATGGGGAGTTCACGGGCTGAGCCCTGCTCCTGCTGTGCTGAGGAGCTGCTTAGTCAGTGGGAGACAAGGGACTCTAGATACGAGATTCCTGGTGGATGGGGGAGTTCACGGGCTGAGCCCTGCTCCTGCTGTGCTGAGGAGCTGCTCTTCCCTGGACCTGGAGCCCCAATGGCCAGACCCAGTGGTTTCCCCTCATGCTGCCCAGGACGTCTCACATCACCCTGCTCCAACTCTCCTCAGGGGCTTCTCCACAGATGCACCATCTGTTCCTGCAGAGACATGGCCAGCACAATATGGCAGGGTGGGGCGGAGCTGGGAGCAGGGAAGGGACAGCACTTTCAGAGGAGGCATTGTGTACAGGAGAGAGAAGGCAGCAGAGACTAAGATGAAGAAACAGTGCAATCATGAACATCTGGGGTAAAGTCCAGGAGCAGCAACTGGGGGAGTCACAGGTATCTCCCTCTGGGGATCCAAATGGGAGTGGGAGGGGCTGGTTGGGAAGAGCTGTTTTTTTGTTACAAACCTTGTTGAGAAGCAAGACTGCTTTCCTTGGTTAGGAACACTAACTCCCAGCAGGACAAACGAGAGGGCCCATGGAACAGATAGTGTGCAGCCTGGTAGCCACATCCTTCCCTTCCCTGGACAGACAAGCTGGGGCAGTCACACCATGTCACATTGTCACTAAAGGCAGTGACATCATATGGCTCTAGATAGAGGAAATTGGAGCAGGGAACATTCTGGAAAGGGGGAAGGCCTTATAGGTTAGGAAGGAGAGGGTACCTTATATTCATCCTGGCAAAGACATGCTCCCTTCACAGTGTCCAGTGTCCTGTCTCTGGTCATGTCCAGAGAATTAATGTAATTCCCTTGGAAAGTCCGTGAAGTGATGTGGCCTGGCTCTGTACACCAGGAACTTGGAGAAGTGGGGGAGAGCTTCCTGGGTACCGCCCAACTAGAGAGATGGCTGCATCCTATCAAAGGGTGCCTTGGTGCCCAGGGTTCTGGGGTCTTGATGAGGCATGGCATGGGGAGAAGGGCACATGCCTCTAGGGTAGAGCTCACGTTCCCCAAATTCCTAAGAAAATATCCTTCCCAAGAGAGGAGTTGTGCCCAATCCATTCCTCCCAACTCCTGAATGTTCTTAGCACTGGGCCAGGGTCTGCCACAGATTCCTGGTCTGTGGGCCTCCTGGGATGCAAAGAAGCTGTCCTTTGAGGACAATGGCCTATGAAGCTGGCAGTCTCACAGCGTCAGGACCACAAGCAATGTTTTCCTACAGGTGCACATGGCACAGAAATCTCAAAGCAACCTCAGGGGCCTCCCCAGCACCGGGACCTCTCAGTCTTACCTCTCTGGACCCAGAGTCTTGTGACTCAGAACCCTCCTGTCATCAGTATGTGAGCCTTCTAGCTTAACCTGGAACTCTGACAGGGGATCCTCCACAGCCCCTTGTAGGGAGACAAGAATGATGACTTGAAGATTTCCTGTTCTAAGTGGGGAGTACTGCTAGTTCTGATGGAGGGGCAGACAAGGTCTTGCTTGCCTGTGGGCAGCTGGGTCTGCCCTTCTGCATCTCTGGAGTCCTCAGAACCAACAGGAAAGGTGTAAGGTGGTATGTGAAGAAAACAGGCCAGTGAGTGGCCAGAGCTGCCTCCACCCTCTGCCCTCCACCCTCCCACCTGCCCACCAGTCACGTACCAGCCTGCGGATCTCCCGCTCACACTCCTTCTTGATGCGGGTGATCTCCTCCTGGTGCAGGTGGTACACACTCCTGATCTCCGCTGCCTTGATCTTGTCCGCCTGGATGACCAGGGTCAGCGCCTCCTCCACCTGCTTCTTGGCCCCCTTGAGCTCTGAGATCTCCTGCTGCATCTTGACCTTCTCCACCTCAAACCCCTTCTTGGCCTCCTCCTTGGCCTCACACAGGAGCACCGTCTTGACCTTGTCGGGAGCACCATCCCGCAGGGTGTTGAGAAGCGCCTGCAGTCGCTGGTTCTCGTTGTCCTTGATCTTGATGACCCTCAGCAGCTCAGCCTCGTGCTGCCGCAACAGCGCCTCTCGCACGGCCTGCAGCTCCTTCATCTTCTCCTCATGGAGCTTGGTCTTGAGTTCTGTGACCAGGACCGCGTGCTTTCGTTGCTCGTGTTCACGTACCTGCCTCAGCTCCTGGCTCTTCTCCCGTTCCACCTTGCTGACCTGAAACACAGGCAAGGTGGACGTTGCAGGAGCCCCAGTACCCGCACCTGCCCAAACATGCCCATGCATTTGAAGGTTTGCTTTCCTGAGAACTTGGGAATTATCTGCCACTCCAAAGGTGCATTAAAATGTCAACTAAGCAAAAGTCAGCTCTGTTTGGTGGAGAGTGTGGCTGTGGCCTGCGGTCCTGCCACATACGTAGCCCAGCACTGCAGCAGGAGAGGAAGATCAGGCCTGTGGAAGTCTGCCCCTGGCCTCTCTGGGAGTGGGCTGAGCAGAAGGGGGGGCTGTTCTTGGACACTGCCCTGTGGGGAGCCCTCAGGCCAGCCTCTGCCCACCCCCTTCAGGTCCGTTTCCCTGGCACAACTGTGGAAGTCTGCCCCTGGCCTCTCTGGGAGTGGGCTGAGCAGAAGGGGGGTGTTCTTGGACACTGCCCTGTGGGGAGTCCTCAGGCCAGCCTCTGCCCACCCCCTTCAGGTCCATTTCCCTGGCACAGTGGGCCTGGTGCACTTACCTTCTATGACATTCTTGGCAAACCTCTTAGCAGTTGAGTTGTCTGCTTAGATGATGCCCAACCCCAAGTTTTGGAAACACTGTGACTGGATCTTTCATCCAGATGTTTGGACCTCTTGCTAAACAATCACCCCAAACACAAACAGGCATTTAGCATGGAGAATGGCTGAACTTCCCATGAGCCCTGTCTGCCCTATGGCTAGAGAACCCGGACAGGGTCCCTGCAGCCCAGGGATTTCCCATACCTTCCACCCCTGCTATGGGGGCCCTAGATCCACTCCTCTCAGCAGCTCAGCTCATGAAGCTCCACGGCATGGAGTCCATAATGGTCTGTCTTGGCAGCATTTGGCATGACATTGCCCCCTCTGAGAGACTCAGACAGGGTCCCTGCAGCCCAGGGATTTCCCATACCTTCCACCCCTGCTATGGGGCCCTAGATCCACTCCTCTCAGCAGCTCAGCTCATGAAGCTCCATGGCATGGAGTCCATAATGGTCTGTCCTGGCAGCATTTGGCATGACATTGCCCCCTCTGAGAGACTCAGGGGCTTCAGGGTCCCCTGGCTGCCCCATACCAGGGGCTGCCCATCTCTGTGACCCACACCTTCTTGCCACCCTGGAGGCACCCACAGCGCATCCGGCCTCTTTCCTTCTGTCCTGTTGCTTCCTGAGGGCCCAGGCACCCACATGCCACAGCTTCTCAAACTATGTCTCTGGTCCTGTCACTCCCTGGATCTCTAGGAGTCAACCCATTGGTAACAATGAGGGCCATAGCCCATTACCTGCACCCAGCGGAGCCTGACCTTTTGTGCCTAGAGGCTGCCTCTGGCTTCCAACCCCTCTTGAGTCATCCAGTACCGCCCTACCAGGACACAGGAAGTATGTGGCCTTACTGCTAGCAGGAGCAGTAGTCAGCTTCTGTTAGGATAGGCCCTTGTCTCCGGCTGCGGCTGCTGTGATCAGCTTCTTATAGCAGGTGAGCAAGTCCCTCTTCTGTTTCTGCAGGCAGTGCATCTGTGAATCTCACAGACATGCCTGGGGAGACCCCTGCTTCCTTGAGGCTCCTGATCCTCAAGGGGCACGAAGCAGGCCCCGCCTACCTCCGTGACTCCCACTCCTGGGGGGAGGGGGTAGCATGCTTCTGGAGGCATCTCGTGGGCTCCCACCTTCCTCACCTTCCTCCAGTTGACATCAGCAAAGCTGCCACTCAACTTCCAAGTACACCCAAGCTTGGCATCTCCAGACGCCCTGCCCCTGGCTGCACAGTCTTCTAGCCCATCCCCCTCTGGGTCTGCCACACTTTCCCCTGGAGAAAGTCAGCCAGACATGAAGATCTTTGCCCCTCTGTTAGGTCTCTGGTGTAGAATAAGAACGGAGAGCCCTGGCATCCCCAAGAGGAGGGCCCCACCCACCAGACCTTGGGCCACCCCAGGCAGGTCCGTCTGCTGAGAAAGAGGCCAGGCTTTAGCCCTCACCAACAGTCCCTCTTGACCTAGCCTTTCCTACCTGGAATTCTACGTGCCTCAACCCCTACAATGCAAGCTCCAATCTCACAGTGCCTGGACCAGCCCTGCCTCCCACTCTCCCAGTCCCCCTCCCAGGCCTGCCCACCTGCCTCTGTTCCGCCTGCCCAAGGCCACCTGCGGAGCTTGGCCTGTGTGTCTTTCCTCCACAGCCTAGCCCCATCCCCACTTCTGAGGCTGTTCCCTAGTCTGCCATGACACACAAACCCCAGCAATTCAGATACGTACTTGGTATCAAGTGTGAATGTATGTGTACATGCACGTGGAGACCAGGGGATAACCTTGGATGTCAGTCCTCAGGAGCACTGTCCACCTTGGGTGTGTATGTGTTGTATGGTACATGTTCTACAGGTGCATCCACCCATGTGGGAGCTTGTAGAGGTCAGAGGTTGATGTCAGAATATCTTTCTCAGTCACTCTCCACCTTTTGGCTAGACTGGCTGATTGGTGAACCCTTAGGATCCTCCTGGGTCTGCTCATCCCCAGCTCTAGGATTATAGACATTTGACCACACCTGACCCTTACATAGGTGCTGGGGATCTAAACTCTGGTCCTCGTGCCTGTGTGGCAACCACTTCACCCACTGAGTCATATTCCTAGCTCCCACCTTGTGTTTTGAGATCTCTTATTGGCCTGGAGCTCACCAAGTAGGCTAAGCTGGCTGGCCAGTAAGCCCAGGGATCTGCCTAGCTCCACCTCCCCATGTTGAGATTACATGACTTGATTACTACATCTGACTTTTTTACATGAGTTCCAGAGATCAAACTCGGGCCCTCAGTGCTTACCTGGCAAGCACTTTACCAAATGGGCTGTCTCCCCAGGCCAGGCCCTGCTTCTTAACGGTCCTCAAACTTACAGTAGTGCTGTGGACTGAGGACAAACCTTCAGTTACAGGAGCCTTTGGGAGACATTTGAGACCCAGCTGTTCCTGTGCTTGGCCTGTCTCCTCCCCCACCAGAGGGACTTTCAGGGGCAGGAGTCAGCCCTGCCTGCTGCCACTTCCCTATCAGGACAGGCGTGTGACACCAACTTACACAGCTGGCAGTACCACTCTCCTCTCAGCTTCTGACAAGCTGCTGACCATCTCCACTGTACCAAGACAATGGACAGCTGTTGAGCAGCTTGGACTTCTGCTTTGGTATATGGATGATTCAAACTGGCATCCAACCCCCCTGTTTAACATGAGTCTCCTCCTTTCCCAGTTTAAACTGAATCCCAGATATGGAAAAAGGGCGGGCAGAATTTTGTTTGGTTTTTGAGACAGGAGCTGAGGTTAGCCTAGAACTCACTATGCAATCTAGGCTAGCTCTGAATTGCAATCTTCCTGCCTCAGCCTCCCAAGTGCTGGTATATGTAAGCCACCAATCCTACTGACAAATCAGTTTTGATGTTTCTGAATCGTTTGAAGGAAATCTTTTTTTCCCTTGATGGATCTCTTTGGCTGATTTCACATGTTGTCTGTGTAAAGGAAGGAGGGGAGGAGGGTTGGGTACAATAGGAACACCGACCACCCATGAGGGTTGGATCATGAGGGTCAGAGGTACAGCAAGTCCTAAGTGAGACATGGTAGACCAGAGTCTACACCAGGATCTGTGGACTCAGCCTGTCCTGCCTCTCAGTAGATAAATCTTCAAATCTTTTGAATTCTAGACTGAGAGTTATCAGAGAGAAAATGAGTGTCATGTGTCACAGAGATGATCTGGGACAGGGGTGGAGGGGTGGGGAATGGGAACTGTGCGAACAGGACAGTTTTACCTTAGAGACAGTGGAGCCCACTCCTCTCTTGTGGTTCCTCCTGCTCAGGGCCTGACACTTTGCCATGGACCAAGTGTGTGGTGAGGAAGAGCATTATGGTGGAGGAGCAGGTGGTGAACTGGATGACCTCATGGTGGACAGGAGCCAGTGCTGGCCAGCTTCTGCCTCTGTCTGCTTTCCATCCATCTGCCACCACCATACAGTCTATTACACAGCATTGCCCACATTCAGGGTGGATCCTCTACCAAAGGTCCGAAACTCCAGTTCCAAGGCTGTCATTGCCGGACATGGGTGCATTTACATATGTGCAGGCAATACATTCATATACATAAAAATTTTTTTAGAAACTAACCATCCTGAGTGGAGGCCAGAACCTGAGACACTGGGGGGGGTGTCCCTCTTTGCATAGCACCGGCCCCACCCCCACGCTTACTGGTACCACTAAGGTGCATCAGGCTGTGGCGTGGTGGACAGGAGCCAGTGCTGGCCAGCTTCTGCCTCTGTCTGCTTTCCATCTATCCGCCACCACCACACAGTCTATTACACAGCATTGCCCACATTCAGGGTGGATCTTCTACCAAAGGTCCGAAACTCCAGTTCCAAGGCTGTCATTGCCGGACATGGGTGCATTTACATATGTGCAGGCAATACACTCACATACATAAAAATTTTTTTAGAAACTAACCATCCTGAGTGGAGGCCGGAACCTGAGACACTGGGGGGGGTGTCCCTCTTTGCATAGCACCGGCCCTGCCCCCACGCTTACTGGTACCACTAAGGTGCATCAGGCCGTGGCAGGTCAGGGAGGCGCAGCACGACCCAATGGACCAGCCGCTGGAAACAAGATCTCAGTTTAAGCTGGTCTTGCTGGGGGAATCTGCAGTGGGCAAATCTAGCCTCGTCCTCCGCTTTGTCAAAGGACAATTCCATGAGTACCAGGAGAGCACAATTGGAGCAGCCTTCCTCACACAGACTGTCTGCTTAGATGATAACAACAGTCAAGTTTGAGATCTGGGACACAGCCGGATAGGAGCTATATCACAATCTAGCCCCCATGTACTATGGGGGGGGGCAGGCAGCCATTGTGGTCTATGACATCACCAATACAGATACATCCAAGAATTGGGTGAAGGACTTACAGAGGCAGGCCAGCCCCAACACTGTCATTGCACCGGTGGATAACAAGGGAGACCTGGCCAGCAAGAGAGCCG